TTAATGGCATCATCTGACTTAGTTTGGTAGAACATGCATATTGTTACTGTTCAAAAGATTTAATGCATCTCCAAAATAGTAACTTTACAGGAAAAGGCAAAAAATGTTCTTATTTTTATGTAAGTTAATATAAAAAAGGAGATATATTTAAAACAATTTTGGAGCATTTCTGTGTTCACACAGTTGCTGTGTTCAAATCTTATAGAAAAATAAAAGTAAAAAATTTCTTGTTCTTATTTTTTTGATAGTGGTTATATGGTGGTCCGTTTTCCACACTGCTGCATGGAACTGTCTGATATGAACAGTTAGAAATTTATAGAGCAGAGGTGCAATATTTCACATCTCGGTAATCACATGTGTTGGGGTGTTATTTACAGCATTATAAACAAAGATACAATAAAAGCTTAATTACTTTAGCAGAAAATACGGGTCACACAAATTTCCCATTGATTTGACACGGGGTAGTAAGCACACAGTAGGTCATGGCTGTAATGCACTTCATTGATTTGGCTTTGCATGTATACACTCTTTTATAACCACAGGCCACCTCCCCACAAACCGATAAAATCACTTGCCGTTGCTCCACTATCCAGCAACTTTTCCCCTGCAGAACCACAGGCTAGACTGAGCAGTGCTGAAGGTCAAAGGGATTTGTGCTCACCAAAATGAGGACGCTGATGAGAGTTCTGATTACACTATGAACTGCTGAAAGATCTCAGTGTTCTTTTCCTGAAAACTCATTCCATGCCATATGGTCCTCTAAAGCAACATGTGTCTCCGTTAGGATACTTCCTTGAATGGTGGGCTTACCTTGTCTATATAATACTCAACAGTGTTCCATCAGTAAGCAGCACACAACCAACTATTAATCTATTTGGAAGTTTAATTTGAAATTTGGGTCATGTGGAGCACTGTGCAAAAGTTTTATTGGCATATGAGAAAATAATATTTAAAAAGCTGTTTATCTGGGCAGTTAGCATTTATTCCCTGAGTAAAACAATAACACTGCGATAAATACACGTTAAAGCTGCTTATCTAAGAAGTAAGCATTCATTTGCTGAGAAAAACAATAATATTAGGATAAATACACTTAATACAATAAATGGAGAAGTCACGAACACAAGAAATTCCTGTTACCTTTCCTGCATTAATGATTGTTTGCATTGACTGTAAAGGTATTATGAGTTTTTACAAGTGAAAACACACCAACAGACAAGATAAATAGCATTAAACAAAGCATGTTAGAGTTTTGCACAGTTCTACATGTTAGCTCTTGATTTCATTTCAATGTATAAAAGACAGCGTCCTTAAAGACATCCTATACAATTACAGAAAAGCTGGAGTTCAGTAAAAAAAACCTTTTTTCCTCATTAACAGTTCAAAAATCAGTGTTCTTCTCCTGAAAATTCATTCCATGCCATTTGGTCTTCTAAGGCAACATTTGTCTCCAATACTTTACTCTGTTAAAAAATGTTACCCTAGTTTTACGTTAGAGCCAAAGGTGTTCCATCAGCGAGAAGTAAGTGTGCAACCAGCAATTTCAAATCTATTTGGAAGTTTAGTCCAAAATTTGGGTGATATACAACAGCTCCTGATTTCAAAATGGTTCCCATGAACGCCCTGTCAATATTGTATAGAATATTGTCCTATGTAGAAAAAAACTTTTTGTTAAACTCAATAAAAGCTTGAGTTAATTTCATGCCAAATAGTGCTCTAAACCAACATGTGTCTCTAGTAGGATACTTTCTCAAATGGTTGTTCTCAAATTTTTAATATAATACTCAATGGTGTTTTATTAGTAGGCAGTCCACAAGCAACTATTCTGAATCTATTTTGAAGTTTAAAATTAGTTTTAAAGTTGTAAACTTTAGATCAAAATTTGGGTGACATATTTTAAAATGCACAAACACCCATTCCACATCAACCCCCTAAAGTTCAACAAAAAGTGTTTTTCTTTAGAAATCGCTGAAAGATGTTCTTTTTCTGAGAACTCCTTCTACGCCATATGGTGCTCTAAGCAACATTTGTCTCTAGTAAGTTACTTTCTTGAACAGTCATTCTCCTAGTTTTACATAATACCCAAAATGTTCCATCAGTGTGTAGTAGGTGCAGAACCTTTTTTGTGAAGTTTTGAAGATTAGCTCAAAATTTGGGTAATATATATTAGTTTAGCTCAAAATTGGGTAATACCCATTAGTTTCTGATTTCAGAATGTGTTAAAGACCCCAAGGATATCCTATCAAGTTCAATAGAAAGTGTTTTTCTTTAATAACAATCTCAAAGATCTGTGTTCTTTTCCTGTAAAACTCAAGCAACTATTTTGAATTTATTTTGAAATTTAGTTCCAAATTTGGGTGATACACATTGGCTGTGGAAAGACTCAGTCCCTATCAACCCCATAAAGTTCAACAAAAAAGTGTTTTTCTTTACAAACTGCTGAAAAATCTCTGCGTTCTTTTCCTGTAAAACCATTCTGTGCCATATGGTGCTGTAAAGCAACATTTGTCTCCAGTAAGCTACTTTCTTGAATAGTTGCTCTCCCAGTTTTACATAATACCCAATAGTGTTCTATCAGTGGGCAGTAAGTGTAGATCCTTTTTTAAAATAAGTCTGGATGATATACATTGGTTCCTGGTTTCAAACTGTGTGAAAGGACCCAGCTGCAATGGATGTGCCCATCAAGCAAAAAAAAGGAGGAAAAAAGTGGTCTCATGGGTACATCAGACCATGTTTTAGACAAGTGGTCAACCAGCAAAACCCCCATACAAACCCACTGCTTTCTAAACACAGCGATCAAATGGTTGTGGCACTGCAGGGATAAAAGACCTAGCAGGGGTGCAATTCTCAACCTCTTTAATAAGAGTCAGAAGCAACAAAAGGACAATGAGCCACACTTCCCCACAGCCTGTCTGTCTACTTTGCAGTGAAGTCTCCTCCTTCTCTAAGTAGCTGTGAAGTCTCCTCCGCAGTTATTACATGAGAGACTGCGCATCTCCACTGGAAGACACACAAGAGAGCGCGGGCAATTCATTGGTTTGCTTCCATCATTGGGAAGTCTCAGACGGCTTCAAACAAGACGCTGGTTTATGAAATGTCAAAGTCAAACATCAGAACAATATTCAGATGCTTTAAAAGAAGGCAATTTGGTCAGTTTGGTCACAGGGATTCGACATGCCTCTGCTTTTTGTCTGAAGCTGCTTTTTCTACCATATGAATGTGCCTCCACTGCTGTTATACAAATAGGCCTACGCTTCTGCTCTCTTCATTATCACAGCTAAACTACCTGCAAAAAAACAGAGAAGACAAATAGGCCTTGAAAGTATGGGGAAAACTCAATAGGGAAGATTTTTTTTTGTCCTGAAAGACAACAAAGAGCGAGTTGTGTCCGCTTTCCTTCTTCGCTTTTTATGCAAAGCGCTTGTGTCTTGCTTGTCCCTGGGTGCTCATCAACTTGGACCATGACAAGCAGGAGAATACAAAGCTGTGCTCGAAAGGTCAATCTCTATGGGCACCCACCAACTTCAGACTCATTTATCGCCACTAACCAAGCGCTTCACACCACGCCAGAGAGCGTGTGATTTAAATCCAGCGATTCAGGGTTACAGGCCCCACTACAACTGGTGGGAGCTTCTTGTTAGTGTGTAGGGCAGAGGAGCACAGCCTTAGCACGCCATGCTCAATAGCCAGGACACTGGAGGGTGTTTAGCATTCTACAAGAGCATCCATTTGGGGAATAGTGGGCAAAGAAAGTTTTCTTATTGTGTAGAGCTACTTGACTAAGTGTTTAGGTGGCTACATGCATTCAGCTTCAGCTAACCATATTAAAGAATGGGAAACAAGAACAATACATGAACTGCAGCAAAAACATAAGCCTGCAGGTGTAAACATAATAAGTCATCGCACAGTCTTTACAACCTTATTCTCCTGCACTTTCTCAAGTCTGGATTATACCAATAAGAATTAATTACAGGGGTCTAATCATTATTATCATCGGAAAATAACAAGTATTAATTCTGTCCCACTAACAACAAACCATAATGTTTTAAACACAGATAGTATGAATAATACAGTGTGTATAGTGTCATATAGTGAAGTATAGTAGGCTATAGTTTGTAAAGGACTGTTGTATTTAAAGTATAGTGTAGTATAGTATTGCAGGTACGGTTTAGCACATCAGTTATAGCGTAGTGTATGTGTATGTAAAGTATAGTGAGGCATAATATAGTACGTATGGCACGCTATTGTACAGTAACGTTATAGTTTTGCACAACGTGGTATATTCCAGTATAGTATAGTACAGTATCTTCCTGTAGACTGTATTAGCAATGAATCTCGGTACAGATGACTGCGAATTACCCTGAACCATCCATTCTCCCGGTCAGAGCAGAGCTGATTTCCCACAGTAAGACCAAAAGAAGCAGCAATAAAATGACAAAGCGAGCTAAAATAACACAGCGTTTGAACTGTAAGTAAGGCGAGCGATAAGACAAGGGCTCTGAGCCGAAACCAGAGCCGCTTGCGAAGCGTGTGCTGGTTAAAGTAGACGAGCTTAACGCGGAGTGAGGTCGCGTTTAAGCTGAACCTGCTTAAACTGTGGTGTAGGCGGAACGCAGAGGAGTGAAACACGCAGCCATGAAGCAGAGAAAGCCGTGGCCCATCACAGCGCCCATTAGGAGGGGCGCAAAAACGGCTGAAAACATCAACTTTTACTCACCAGGTCTGACGCGCCGTGAACAGCAGCCTGTAATATTATTATCAACACAAAAGCGTAACCAGTACCCAGAGGCGTGAGGCAGCGCGAGCGCGTGCGAGTGCCGTTAGGCTTCTCCCCGAGATCCACTCCCACAGCAAGTTTACGGGATGCTCACTAGTCCTATCAAAAACAGCAGGCTGGAAATAACTGCACCCTCAGCCTGGCCTATAAGCGACCACCACCACCACCCGAGCCAAAGGCATAACCCGCTCAAAGAGAGAAAGGGACGGGAGAAGCGGGGGCTTACCATTCTGAAGAAACATGCGAGCCTGTCCGTCCGGCTGGGCTAAAGCAGAGAAACAAAACGCCTCGCTGTTGGAAGATGCAGCAGAGCAGTAAAGGTAAGCAACGTGCCGTGTGTTGTTGTTTGTTCTCACGGCGTCTTTCTTATCATCTCCCGTTAGAGGAAAAAAACATCAGCAGAACGTGAGGTGAAAATGTCCAGGGCGCGTTAGCCACATCTCAGAAAAAACGGCGAAGACCGAGAGACGAGTGGTCAGGTTGTTTTCTTTTCAGCTTAGACCGCAGAGGAAAAGCCTCAGAAGCTCCAGCACTCACGGCACTATCCGTCCACACATGACTGAGCGCCGTGAATGGGGGAGAAAGAGCAGGGAGGAGGTTTAGTGTGAATGCTGGAGAATGACAAGCGGGCCCCCACAGCCCAGCACCGGCGCGTACCATGTGGGCGAGAGAGGAGGGGGGGCACGCTAATGCTTACCGCTTCTTACACCGAGACTAAATGTTGGGGATACGTTCAGCTATAACACAACACACAAAAGACAAAACGCGCAACAACACCTGTATGGAGGTAAAATGAGCCTGACCTGCCCGGGATAGCGCAGGCAGCGGCTTAGAAAAGCAAAGAAAGAAAATCCTGCTAGCATGTGCAGCGCACATAAGCACTAGTACTGCAATCACTCCAGTGGGATTTTATTTCTTTTGGAAAACAGCATCTAATCTTACAATCTTACAATCTGTGGGATCTCCCACCTCACCATGCATTATAAAAGACTTATGGGCCTCGTTCACCAACTGTTCTTAAGAAGAAAATTCTTCTTAAAGCCCATCTACGCAGTTTTCATGAAGATTCAGACACTCACCAGTATTTTCTTATTTGGGATTTGTTCTCAGGTAATTAAAGAATCGACACACACTCAAGAGCACAAAGGTGTGAACAATTCTGTAGACTTTTTCTTAGGAACTTCCTCAAGAACAAAAAGAAAAAAAAACTTGGGAAGATATTGGCAAATGAGGCCCAATGTGTTTATCTTGCCAAAGGAAGGGGATGAAATAACTGTAACACATTTTAGGGGGAAGTGTTATTTGTATATTTTTTTCTTCAAATAATTTTACTGAAGGGTTTCTCCCACACCCTTAAAAAAGTTCAGAATGTAGCAGCTTAAGAAAACCCTTGATATTGAACCTTTGCATTATGTCAAGGTTCTTTAAACCAAAAGTACTTCCTTGCCTGTTCCAAAGCTCATCTGCACATTTTCAATGTAAGATCAAGCTCATAAAACACTGTGTCAGCCTAGTTTGCTAATTTTTAGTAGGAATGACAGTACTTCTGGCGGGCATTGTTTCAAACAAATAGCCTGACTGAACAGATCACTGTAAACAAATTGTTGAGGTCTCTCCCCTTCAAATACAACCTTTTGGAGATTTAGTTAGCCTAGTAGTAGATGACATGCTGATTTGTTGTTCATGCAGTCAGAATTGGGTTTGCTTTCCATCATGAGGTCATTTGGGTAGCCTAGTAGTCGATGACATACAGATTTGTTGTTTATGCAGTCAGAATTGGCTTTGCTTTCTGTCATGTACCTACCCAGTGCTGACATTTTGGAAATGGGACCTTTTAGCTGCGAATAAATAGACTAATAGTGAGATTAGCAGACAAAATTTCATTAGATCAGTGGTTGATGTATAAGAGTCAGAAATAAGGTTCTTGCCTACATTTTGCTTGGTAATTTATAGCTTTAAGTACAGATAAAGAACCAGAATGAAAAAAATAATCGTTTTGAAAAGTGTACTTGAGCTTACGATTTAGGAATGACACATGAGTGTGTTTGGCAAGGAAGCTCTGGTTGCTTTTTCTGCAACCCCAGCTTAAACCTCTGACACCAGAGTTTTGTAGGTTAGCCAAAGACAGAACTTTTGCGTTGTCCTACCTGACATTTCCTTTGTTGGGGCATGCCATTTAAGTAAACCCTGCCTTCAAAATCCAGGCCCTTTCTCCTCTTCCTTGCTTCTCTCCAGAGCGAAGAAAGAATGGTCAAGGGTCCCTATCCCACCAAGTATGTTTGGTTACCCTGAGAACAAGGCAGAGGCCAGGAGGTGGTATGTGTGTGGTTCAATTCACTGCATTATCCTCAGCCAGCTAATCTGGGCTGGGCTTAGGCTTCTTACTGCTCACTGGCTGTGAATAGATGAGTGAAAAGTTAAATATTCTTTCAAATGGAAAACTGCCGGCCAAGCCGGGATTGTGATCATGTCACCGTGGGATTTGGAGACCCCTCAGTTGACATAGGCAACAGGAAGACGAGCCCAGGCTCATTATCACGACTTCCATATGTGAGTCTACACACCCTAGTGCACAGCCGAGCTTGGGAGGCTTGACTATCTGTGATTAATAAAAACCAGGCAGTGTGAAAGTAAATGGGAGAGAAATACACTCCAAATTTACTTAGGCCTAGCCGCTGTAATGTACGATTCACACGGCCAGTGTCTGAAATGAAAATACAGTTTTATATTAGCTTTGTGGAACATGGCATCATCCAAGCCTTTTCCATATATATGCTGTAGGAAATAACAGGCAGGTAAAAATACATGTTGTTTCTTTCTTGTTTTTACTTATTTTGCATATTAAATGTGAGAAAAACAGATGTAAGAGAAATAAAGTCAGATTTGAACTTGTCAGGTCCACTAACTGAACAGAAAAAAGCTGAACAAAGTGTTTCCTCACGTCAGAGCACCTATTTTTTAATAGCTCTGTGACTAAAATCACAGACGTATTTTTAAGTGACTCACCAGCTATTGTAGAAGTTTTAATCTGATGAAGCTACATTTTAATGTGCAAAAAAGTATTCAATACTGAGAAATGAATAACTTAACATGTTTATATTGCAATATATCAAGAAGAATCAACAAAACTGGGTAAATTACAGAAACTGTTCTGGTGTCTAACCCAGACATTTATCCAGTACTGAGCAAAAGTCAGAGACCACCTTTATTTAATTTCTAGTCAAAACAGCCATTAAGTATAAGTTATTCATTTCTCAGTGTCAGCAGAATACATATATTTAACAGAAAATACCTTTGTTTTTTTTCATACCTGAAGCAAGAGTGGAGCTTGATTTTCTGATAGTGACAGTTTTGGTTGTCTACAGCTTTTGCATGGCTGAGTCTCATTTTCTCTTAATCTTTTAACGTTTTTGTGAACTCCAGTTTTGGAATATCCTTTTTTCACTTATTTTCTACGTATCTCCTTTAGTGCAAAAATATGTATCTCTTTTAGCTATTTTAGATGCACATGAGAAAAAAAGTTGCAAGGCAGCTAAGGTGAGTTTGGGTGATTGTAACTCTGTAACTTAAGATTGAAAGGTTGGAAGTGTTAAAATGGCAGTTGCATGCACAAAAGTAAAGAGTGAATAAATTATTGATAGATTTAATATTACACTTAGTGTTGGAGGTTTTTGTGTAATTTTTCTGCTTTTGTATTTTTACACAGTACCTATACCAATAGGCGTTTCACATAAATCTTCATTTTGCAATCCTTGAGGATTTATGAAAGCAGTAGAAGCATTTTTATAGTTTAAGATATTTTCAAAATTTTATGTCTTTTGCCTTTTGAAGCCATGGTGTATTATTTAGCAGCCACATTGAAACTTTCTCTCCCATTCACTTTTACCCTTTTATGATGAAGACAGCTGCAGTTGTGCTGTCCATTTTATCTCAGCATGGCTGTCTTTGTGGAGAGGTGTGAACTGTTTTCACAGCAGGTGGTTCTCACCCCTCCCCTTTTACCCCTCACTGCTCACTAGCAGCTCAACACAGAGTCACACCATTTCACACACAGAGAGAAAACTGTGTCCTGGTTCATCTGATAACAGAGTGAAAATATTTTACTTGATTATATTAATTAAAAATATCCAAGACAATTTCAGTCCCACCAGCGGAATGGCCACTAGGGGGCCTGCAGAAGGAGATTAATCCCAGGCAAATATTGAGCTGGTTCGTGCCGACATGCGCGACAAAACAGGCCTAAGTGCAAAGTGAAAAGACAGTACATAACAGGAATGCTGCACTAGACTCCACATGAACCTGTCAGTAAGCCTTACCCTCACTTGGATCAGCCTGAGTCTGAACGCAGCAGCAGTATCAGAGCTTTGGCCCCCTTCCAAGCATGAAGTCCTGGAGGACACAAAGGCAGCAGTGTTGCCAGGTCAGTGCAAAGCCCTGGCCTGCAGGCGCTGGACACCCTACTGAGGGCAGCATGCTGTGCTGCTCTACTGCTACTGCCTGCATGTGTGTGATTGCGTGTGAGTGAGAAGAGTTGCAGTAAAGTAAAGGGAAAACACTTTCACTGTACCAGGCTATTTAAGCGCATGAAAGTTGTGTCCCCATGGAAACCAATTGTTCAGTTATACAACTAGATTAAGAAAGTACAGTTCAAATGAGTCACAGGGAAGCATTTTCACCCAAAACCATGAGAGAATATCCAGAAACCAGGCTTTATGTTGAGTCACTACCTCTGAGGCCCCTGAGATAATGAAAGCTTATTAAACTGATCTTACTTACAGGGATATTTCTCTAAATTAACAAATAGAAAGAGTGTGCAATGCTATGTGATGTGTCCTCTTACTAATCCACGGAAACACTCTTGCCACCTTCATGTGCAGTTACATTACATAACTTTTAAAATATGTATAATTTATTAATTTATTCTTTTTATTATTTATTTATATGTATTATTTATTTTGAAGCTCTGTATTCTTACCAGCATTGAGAATGTCTAAATTTGTCCAGAATAAATGAGTTTATAAAACACTTGTGTATAAGCACTTTGGAATGGGGTGGCTGTATGTTGCATAACAATACTATTATGTCAAGAGTTCTTTTAGAGAGTCTTTCTAAGACCCTGCACATACACTATGTCCAAAAGTATCTTTCTAATTAGAGAATTCTGCTACTTTAAGATGCACTCATAGCTGACACAGCTGTTCAATTGCGCATGCACAGCTTGTAAAATCTCCATAGAAAAGCATTGCAATTACATTGGGACACTCTGGAACAGCTACACATGAGCCTAACATCACCATGCTCAGTACCAAATGTCACCTAGAGGAGTCTAATCCCCCCCCTCCCCAGCACTGGGCTGTGGAGCAGAGAATCTGTATTTTCTGGAGTGATGCAGCTCTTTTTAGTACCTTTGGGATGAGTTGGAGTGGAGTTTGTGATCCAAAACTAATCGTCAAAGATCAGTACCTGACCTCACTAATGCTCTTGTGGCTGAATGCAATCAAATCCTCACAGCATTGTTCCAATATCTAGTGCAAAGCCTTTCCAGATAGTTAGAGGCTGTTACTGCAGCAAAGGAGGACAAACTCTCTATTAATTCCACCTAATATCAGAAAAAAATATTGGATGAGAAGATATCTAGAAACATATGCATATAGTTTATGTTTCCCTTAGTTAATATGTATTATTTTTGGGTAATAATATGGCTTGCTGTTATTTTACATGTCATACACATATACATTCACCAAGACACATTCTTTGCAAGTGCTTGAATTGTAACATGCATGTCGATATGAGCCTCATTCTGATTCTGGTTCTAAAGAAAGCACAAAGTTCACATTTTTAGTCATTTTTGAGGTGCTTGGCCATTGACTATTTGCCAAAAAGTG